TTAAAGAAAAAATACTTAGCTGAAAAATCAACAGAATTTTAAAAGTGCTTTGTCTTTTTTTAAGTTATGGAATATTGAGGTGCTCTTTTGGATGAAGATAAATGTGGTGCTGTCATGGACGGAGCAAGAAAGAATGGGTGCTTTTTTGTGATTAGTAGAAGAGAGGTGAACTTCAAAGTAAAATGTCCAATCTTTGTTCATCAATCAATCGTCCGCGGGCTTCAACGGGTAGAAGCACGGCGCGCGGCCGTAGACAGCTGTCTCCAGGGGCTTCTGTCAGCAGGACTCTCCAAATGTCCTTGTCAGATACTTTAAAACATAACTTCTATAACTTGATAGCAAAACAAAACTTTCATCTCGACATTAGACATAACAGCTCCCCTATAGCTACAAAGTCGGATTGCTGGTTCACAAAAGCAAGTGGAAGAAAATGTAGTCAGACTAAAATTTTCCTCCCGTTTTGCTCAGTATGATTTCTCCTCATCATTATTCTATCTTATTTTATATTATGAAGATTTACAACATTTGTGAAAGAGGTTACATAACAGGTGACTCTTCAAAGATGTAAAACCTGAGACCAGACTGTAAGGTTTGAGCCACTCACGCACACCGGGAAGGTCCCCTAGTCTTTTCGATACGTGTGGTGGGTTCTTTAACTTGCGTGGGGTCTGCTGGCTCTTTCAAACACGGGACCGCCATTTAACGTCTCAAACCGAAGCTAGGTACTCATTTACACCTGAGTGAAGTGAGGAAACTAGTGTATAAAGTGCCCTCCCAAGGTCACAAGATTGTTGGCATCGGGGAGGTGGCATCGAACCCCCGACCTCTTGAGTCTGGGCCGAACACGCTACTGCTACGCCACACGACTCCAATGGCCCTATTCACACCTTCCAAAAACATCAGCCGAATCATAGAAATATTAGAACTTGTCTTTGACATGTTTCTCATTGTACTTCTGATAGATTATAATATATTGTGATATTTTGCCGGCCGAAGGCCGGTTATAGAAATGGCTTTAACGCACGTTGGACTATTAAATGGTAGTCCGGACCAAACAAAAATAGTAACCCCCAAAGAGGGGCGCACAAAACGAGACAACTGTGTCATCCCAGCCAGGTAAGCACAAGCACACCACCGCACGCAACGTTGGTTGGGACGGTTGTTGGTTCATTGAACCAATTCACAAACCATTTATTCACCAGTTTCCCATCCCCAGAATGCAATGCGATTAACCCTCATTTGCATAGGACAGGAAGGCACCGGAATGATCCTGTTGACGTAAATATATAAACAGCTTGCTTTTCACTGTGTTTTGAGGTGTTGGAGCATTTTAGGCCCAACGTTAACGTTGATTAAATTACTATGGGCCGAATCTGACAACAAACATAGAATTAGTTTTTTGGAATATATGGTTTGTAACTTTATAATGGTAACGCTATACTGATGCTGTAAAGTTACAAACCACATGTTCCATGTTGAAAAGAACACAAAAACTTCATTCTATATTTGTTGTCAGATTTGGCCCATAATATTTTAATTAACATTGAGCATTGAGTGGGTCGATCGGCAGCGATGCTCGTCTAGGCTCCGGACGTCGAGAGTTCGAACCCCGATGTTGGCGTTCCTTTTTAATTTATTTATTTCATTTTCACACACCTGGGTAGCCCAACTCAGCTTTGACAAGTTGATTTTCAGTGGGGCCCAGTTTACAGAAATAATAAAACATAAGTTAATACTTAGACAGAAGTAACAGAGAATTGTATGTAAAACATAAATAACTCAGGTAACCAAATTATACAAAATAAATACATAAGATTTCTTAGAACCTCAAACAAAACCGTAGAGAACAAATCAAAATCGTTGTCCGTTACTAAAAAGTCATTGATAGGTCAAGGTCGGTTATTCATGTGGAGGTCAGAGGTCATATGTCAGACTGTAAAGATTGTATGTTCCTGAGAGTATTTTCTTTTTAACATCCGTTATTTTGTTTTTTTATTGTTCTTACTCGGGAATGTCAATAAGATAATTTTTTACTCTTTTGAATTTTTGCACTTCGATGCTTCGTCTAGCATGTTTTGCCAAGCTAAGTTTGTCCCGCTGTCAGCATTATTTTAATTTTCTTTTTAACAAGTCCGAAATGTCAGTCCTTTTAAAAGCTCTCCCGACTTAGCGATGTCTTTATTTAGTTTTTTTCTGAGGCCGGCCCAGCTTTTTAAAAAGCTCTTCTTGTTTGTCTGTTATCTGTGTTACGCACTCGTACAGATGAACTTTCATGATGATATAGTTACTTTGTCACAAGCACGAACAACATTTTAAACAAACATTGACCTGGCAGGATAGCATTGTAAATCTGAAGATTCTGATTCTGTATGACGCAACCAAATAAAACAGGACCCGTGACCTTTGTTACAATGTAGAAATAGAACCTAAAAACATCGCAGGGTTGCATGCTGAATTGTGTTGTAGTTTACAATATGTACAGCTGTCTAAAACATTTAGATCACTTTAGCATTAACAGATTGAGAGTATTATGCGATCATTATTTTTTTAAATATTGTCATAATATCTGAGAGTGATATAAATATACATTAAAAAGAGAGTACGACAAGTTAACACACAAATACTCTTCGGAGGTAAAAGTCAATTTTTGCTGCTACAACAACTAAATGCAACATTGAGGAAGATGTTGGGTTGGCAAATTCGCAAACGTTTTCTGACAGCCGGGCTATCTGGCAGCCATCTATCTGCCCCTGCCCACAGTAAAAAAACCCACACAATCTTCTACCCTACCATCTGCTTACTAAGAGTTGTTAAGGTATATTGCAGACAGTCTACAGAACAACCTTATCCATTGTCAGTCACGTACCTTTCAAGCCAATCAAAATAGTTCAAGTCGATCCCTTCTTGGCAGGAACTCGTGTAGAAATGCCCGTGGCACAGGTTGTTGTTGCTCTTGTAGAGTGTGTCTGCGTCCTTCGGTAGCTGATCCGAAAATGCCGTGTGACAAACAACCCAAGGTTAGCCTTACGTACATGGTGGGGTTGATTGTCTGAGCGATGCTTTCTTAGATAAGAGATTAGTCAGTGTGCTTTAAAGAAGAAGGGGAAGGAAAGCTAGTCTGGTGCCTTTTTTTGAAGATGGCAGAAATGAGGTGCTTTTTGGATCAAGCGAAGTCAGATGCTTTCTTGAATGAAAAGACGCGCAGTGCTTTTGTGGATTTAGAGGATTTCGTTTCTTTGGGGGTAGGATGGAAGGAAGTGCGGACAGAACAAGGAAAATTGCTGCTTTTTTGGATCAAGAAAAGAAAAGTGAATTTCAGTTTCAAAATGAAATTTCCAATCTCTTGTCTGAGACCTATGGGCGTAACTTCTAGAGCTAAACAGCAGCAAAGGACAAGCTTTCATTTCCTTGACATTTCATTGTGAAATAACAGCTTCCACTTAAAAGTTGGATGCTACTAAACTTTAATTTCAAACTAAGATAAGAATTTATGTAGAAAATTTAAGCTGTAACATATGGAATTGGACTTGTTCGACCGTGCAACTCCAGTCATTGTCAAAATGAATAATCCGCAGAATGCATCTTTGCAGTAAAGACTAGAATAGATGATGGTTGCTTGTATGTTTTTAATTTGCTTCTCATCAGAATGAGTTGCTAGAAGAAATGGTCACAAGACTTGAGGTTGGGTAGAAAAATGCAAATCACCCCCACCACTTTTTACCAGCAAAACCTGCAGGTGCAATGTATCCTGGGATTTAGAAACTGGCCGGTCGTCTGGAAACATGCGTTGCCGCCCAAGGACAGTCACGTGGTTCCTTTGTTCCGCCTAGCTGCTAGTTGTTCGCGACGACAACCACGATAGCCCCTTTCTTCTTCCTCTTTAATGTTGCCGTTTATTTCATCACATCACCTTAGAAATTCAAAGAAACAAACAAACATCTAGATCAGTTGTCTATTTCTACTTGACTAAATAGTATCCTTTATTGGTGTGGATAAACATAATAAATAATACTAAAAAGGCCGCCTTTACTCTGGTGGATCAAATACATATTTCAGTCATACCCCGCTCCATATAATGGTCTGTTCCAAACCCACACCTGTGCAAAGTATAACAAGATTATTTATTTCCAAAGCGAGTTATTTGCCAAGTCATCCAAGTTTGAAAAGAAGCCTTCCTAACTTTACACCAATAAAAAAAGTTGTTCCCACTAGTCAAGATGGACTCTTCCTTCTGCCTCATGTCCGAAAACATTTCCGCAAAAATTACAATTGTGTAATCAGCCCTGTCCAATACTTAATTTAAAAAATTGTCTCCCCTTTTCAAGAATGAATTCTTCCAGTGAAGGAGAAGAAGAAGGCACAACAGGAAAAATATATTTCAGGCATACCATGGTATGACCAATGTATACCAGACTTACATTTTGTTGAGGTACAAACTTAAGGTACGTGTCTGCTTTTCCATGAATCAAACAGACGTAACTAAATCGAATATTTTTTTTTAAATTTTAGGCAGGAAAAGTAACCAAGGTTGGAGAATGTATGTTATGCAAGTGCGAGAACAACAACATGCAGTGTGAAAACATCTGTACAACCACCACCTCAAGAACAACACAGGTGCAGACAACAAAGCCTGAGACCTACACCACCAAGCCTGAGACATACACCACCAAGCCAGAGACCTACACCACCAAGCCAGAGACCTACACCACCAAGCCTGAGACCTACACCACCAAGCCAGAGACCTACACCACCAAGCCTGAGACATACACCACCAAGCCTGAGACATACACCACCAAGCCTGAGACATACACCACCAAGCCTGAAACCTACACCACCGAGCCAGAGACCTACACCACTGTACCAGAAACCTATACCACAACAGTTCAAACAACAACATACAAAACACCAAGGAAGGTGACAACTCCATCTTCTACGACAACTCCAGAAACCTACACCACCAAGCAGGAAGGTGACAACCCCATCTTCTACGACAACTCCAGAAACCTACACCACCAAGCCTGAGGTATACACCACCAAGCCTGAGGTATACACCACCAAGCCAGAGAGCTGGACCACCAAGCCAGAGGTGTATACCACTCGGCCTGAAGTCTTCACAACAGAGAGGACTACCCCCTGTTACATTCACTACTGAAGTCACTAGTAAGTGGCATCTTAATATATAAAACCTTCTCACACATTTTGGATCTTGATAAGCTCAAACACAAATACACAATCTACAGTGGCACGATGTATTCACTTTCAACATGCCATTAGCAAAATTTAATGTCAGTCAATCTAGGGTGCTATCACTCCTGCAGAGGAACCCACCCTTGACTGTGCCTTCTAGAAAGTTGAACTTCTTGTTAAATATCTGCAAGCACAACTTATCACTCCTGGTTTATTTAAAAACTAGATGTACTTCATGATCAAAATATAATCTTCTCTCCTCAGCCGAATGCGACAAGAAGGTGTACGGATGTTCTTTCAAGTGTGAGGAGACCTGCCACTGCTACAGGCTCAAGATCACCCAGTGTGTGTTTGGCGATGCTTCTTCATGTGTCCCAACATGTGGCGAGTGTCCACCTTGTCCCAAGGGCTACATCCGCGTAGACAGGAACCGTTGTGTCAAGCCTACTGAGTGTCCATGTGTCACCGCTGATGGAACTATCATACCTGTATGTTTGATTATTTGTTTTGCTTATTAGGATCTCTATTAGTGTAAATTTTACACTACTCTCTCTATTGACATTCAGAACTTTTAAATTCTTTTAAACAGTATTTTCTTGTAGCTCAATATGGCAAATGTATTTAGCAATGTATAGGACCTAAACTTTTGAGCATCATCTCAGATCACATTTTGTTATCTTATTCCTTACATGCTGTATCATGTATTAAAGGAATTTGTTACTTAGTGTTTATCGAAGAAACATGACATATTTGAAGATTAGAACAAGTTTACTATCATGTATTCATTTTGATTTTTTTTACTTCAGCCTGGAACAACAAAGAAGGTGGATGAATGCACCTCGTGTGAGTGCTACAACAACAAAATGACCTGCAAGAACATCTGCACAACTACTACCTCAACTGTTACTACACCAACAGTATACACCACCAAACCTGAGGCCTACACCACCAAGCCTGAGACCTACACCACAAAGCCTGAAACCTACACCACCAAGCCTGAGTCCTACACCACCGGGCCTGAATCATACACTACCAGGCCTGGAGAGACCACAACTGGCTATAGAACTGGCCGTAAGGTCACAACACCAGGTCCAGAGGAAACGACACGCCCAGAGACCTACACCACCAGGCCAGAATCCTATACAACACGGCCAGAGAGCTATACAACTAAACCTACAGTACCTACAACTGCACCCGAATATCCAACAACTAAGCCTATGCGTACAAGTGAGTTGTCAAAGAGTTATAATTCATATTTTAACTAGAAAGGCCAATATTTGCTTTGGAGCAAATACAGCGATGGGTTCACCACATTTTACCACATGGCAGGGAAAGAATGAGAAACACAAGGGAAAACAATGATTTAGTACATTGATATAACTATAATATGAAGTAACATACAACTAAAACAACAGTTGGATAGCTATTCCCTACTTTATTGGTTAGGATTTTTAATTGCATAATGCAAACTGTTGATTTTCAAAATAAAATAAAAAACGTTCATGCCCCGCATTCCAATGCTGGAGCAGAAAAGCTTGAAATACCTACCAAAACACTTGAATAAGACATACTGTCAGTATGGAAACTGCTCTGTTGCAGGTGTTAATCAAGTTAAATCCCAACAGCCAATCAGCAAGAAATGCTCTGTGCAGGTGGAAATGCTCTGTGCGGGTGTTAATCAAGTTAAATCCCAACAGCCAATGAGCAAGAAGTATAGAGGAAAGCTGCATGCCTATTGGTTGATGCCCTGCATTCCATTGTGATGACTCATGCCCAGACGTGGTAAACACGGCACACTAACACAGTAATACATTTGCTATAACACAGCCAAAAAACTCAAATAAAACCATTCTAAAAGCCTGTATCACAAAAATTTAAAAAACGCCTAGGGGTATTTGCCCACTGTACCTCCATACCAAATTTCAGGACCTTAGGCCCTAAAATGAAGAAGCTGAATCCATTTAAAGATATGGCAGGAGGAGAAGGAGAAGAAACATCAGAAAAAGCAATATGGGTTCACCACCACTTCGTGGTGTGGTGAACCCATAAATATAAAATAGACACAAGCAATTTAACAAGTGGACAGGATGGAATAAGCTACATTTTTTCCTTGTTATCTGATTGACGTGTAGGATTTATTTACAACCATGACAAACATCAAAACTCCTTTAGCACTTAGGTCAACTAATGACTGTCATCTTTTTTAAGTTCAAATTTTGAAATAGAAATTTAGGCCGGACGCGATAAGCCGACCTCGCCCACTAGGTTTACGCTGACCAGTGCACGGTGATTTCCTTTTTTGGATCACGCGGGGACGCCTCGTTTGGATTGCATGGGCCACGCTCAAACTTTTCCAAAATTGACCAATCAGAGCCCGCAGAAATACATGTGCTTGCAACTTGCCCCTCTGTCCTCAAGATTTCCTGTTATCGAGGGCGGCTGTTCAGAGAGATAGGCATAAATTCATTTTCGTGAAACGAAAATGTATTTTTCACAACTTACAATGATTCTTCTTCTTTACTTTCAGCGCAATGTCAGAAGAGGGTGTACGGATGTGCCTTCAAGTGTGACGAGACATGTCACTGTTATAGGTACAAGATCACCCAGTGCCAGTATGGCGATAGAAGCACGTGTGTTCCAACTTGTGGAGAGTGCCCACAGTGTCCTCCAGGGTATCTCCGCAAGGACCAGTACCACTGCATCAAGCCAACAGAGTGTGACTGTATCACTGATGGAGGTGTTGTGGTCAAGGTAAATTTGGCTTAATGCACAGTAACTGCAATGTGCTGCACTGATTGTTTAGGTCACTTTGCCCTTGAAATGTACGCCAACAAACGACCAACAAAATAAAATAAAACAAAACAGACCACAAAACATTTGGTGCCGATACATGTCTTCTCAGGTGCAAAATATAACAAAGTTATGCGATACACATGTAAAATAACAATGTAGATATGTCTCATTATGACACATTATTCTACATGTAATTTGCTTTCAATCCTAGGCAATAACTTTATTCCAAACAAGGATCTTGATATTTCTTACGTGACAGCAACAATGTCTTTCTCCACAGGCGGGAGAGACGAAGGAAATTGATGATTGCACTGTATGCAGGTGCTACAATAACAAGCTTGTGTGTTCCAACTTCTGCTCAACATCGAGTGTAACTACCACAACGATGATTGAAACCACTGGCTACCAACCGACAAAGGAGTTAACCACAGTTACAACAACCTCTGAAACATACACCACTAAGCCTGAGACCTACACCACCAAGCCTGAGACATATACCACCACTGTGCCTGAGACCTACACTACCAGGCCAGAGACTGATACAACAACTTACAAAACGCCAAGGAAGATTACGACACCCTCTACAACGACAACTACCACGAGACATGGACCACCAAGCCTGAGACATACACTACCAAGCCGAGACGTACACTACCAAGCCAGAGACCTACACCACCACCAGGCCTGAGACATACACCACCAGGCCTGAGACATACACCACCAGGCCTGAGACATTACACCACCAGGCCTGAGACATACACCACCAGGCCTGAGACATTCACCACCAGGCCTGAGACATAACCCACCAGNATAAAACAAAACAGACCACAAAACATTTGGTGCCGATACATGTCTTCTCAGGTGCAAAATATAACAAAGTTATGCGATACACATGTAAAATAACAATGTAGATATGTCTCATTATGACACATTATTCTACATGTAATTTGCTTTCAATCCTAGGCAATAACTTTATTCCAAACAAGGATCTTGATATTTCTTACGTGACAGCAACAATGTCTTTCTCCACAGGCGGGAGAGACGAAGGAAATTGATGATTGCACTGTATGCAGGTGCTACAATAACAAGCTTGTGTGTTCCAACTTCTGCTCAACATCGAGTGTAACTACCACAACGATGATTGAAACCACTGGCTACCAACCGACAAAGGAGTTAACCACAGTTACAACAACCTCTGAAACATACACCACTAAGCCTGAGACCTACACCACCAAGCCTGAGACATATACCACCACTGGGCCTGAGACCTACACTACCAGGCCAGAGACTGATACAACAACTTACAAAACGCCAAGGAAGGTTACGACGCCCTCTATAACGACAACTCCAGAGACATGGACCACCAAGCCTGAGACGTACACTACCAAGCCAGAGACCTACACCACCACCAGGCCTGAGACATACACCACCAGGCCTGAGACATACACCACCAGGCCTGAGACATACACCACCAGGCCTGAGACATACACCACCAGGCCTGAGACATTCACCACCAGGCCTGAGACATACACCACCAGGCCTGAGACATACACTACCAAGCCTGAGACCTACACAACCAAGCCTGAGACATACACTACCAAGCCCGAGACATACACTACCAAGCCTGAGACCTACACCACCAAGCCTGAGACATACACCACCAGGCCTGAGACATACACCACAGTTGTTACAACCACATACAAAACACCGAGGAAGGTGACAACTCCATCTTCTACAACACGCCCAGAGGTGTTCACAACCAAGCCTGAGACATACACCACCAAGCCTGAGACATACACCACCAAGCCTGAGACAACAACAACGTCAGGTGTCTCTACAACAATCCCTCAAACATACACCACTGTTACAAGTATGTTGACGTCTTCTTCTTTGCCTCTATTATAAAACATTGGGAGTTTTAATTGTTTAACCTGTCATGAGATTTGTAAACATCGTCATGTTACTGAGGTTGTGAATTTACAGCATCAAGAAAACGTCTATTTCTCATCTTTTAACGTTTTGCCAGGCAGCTATTAAATATGAAAGTAAGGCTCTATCAAATCCCTACTTCATACAATCATACATTGTGTATACTAGATCTCTTACCTCAAGGTCTATTTTTAGCCGGGTCAGGTATTAAGATTCTATGTGTATCTTTTCAGCTGAATGTGCAAAGAAGGTGTATGGCTGCTCCTTCCGTTGTGAGGAAACCTGCCACTGCTACAGGTACAAGATCACACAGTGCCAGCGTGGTGACAGGAGTTCATGTGTACCCACCTGTGGTGAGTGCCCTGCATGTCCCAAAGGCTACATCAGAAAGGACCTGTATCACTGTGTCAAGCCTACAGAGTGTGACTGTATCACCGATGGAAACGTTGTTGTACCGGTGAGTTGGCAGGATGATGTTTGAAGCTGAACAATTGATTCGTTGAGTAAAATGTGTTCCAGGTACATAAATGTTCGCTCATCTGCTTGTTACATCTCTGTTCTGATATTCAGGCGGGCAAGACAATTAAGGTCGGCCAATGTCAGGTATGCACATGTTACCAGAATACTTTGACATGTTCCAACTTGTGCACAACCTCGGCAACAACAGAGGCAACAGCAACAACAACAACCACACGAGCAATCACCACTGGATACAAGACACCAAGAAAGGTCACAACACCAGTTACAACACCAGTTACAAGACCAACGACACCAACTCCAAAAGTGACAACACAAGGTAGAAATTAAATATTGAAATTATTGATGGTCATTTTAATGAAAAGCATATTGTACAATGCAGCATAAGCCTTTGTGCTTTTCAGGCCATGTTGTAATGACTCTATTGACTATACTTCATACTTAGTACCTACCACACGATGCTATGAGGAACACGAGGTCTGCTCCTGGACCAACTGGATGGATGCCTGCTACCCAACACCAGCTGTCCGTGGTGACGATGAGTCTTTCACTAGCCTCCGTCGCCATGGCTTTAAGATTGGTGGGCCAAACCAGAAGATCACCAGGATCCAATGCCGCACTGTGGGAACACATATCGACTACACAAAGACAGGCCAGAATGTTGTGGCTAACTGTGAGGTCGGCTGTGTCTGTACTCATGCCACTGGGCCTAGCAAGTTCCAGATGATGATGAGAGGAATAAGCCCATACTGTTACAACTATGAAGTGCGTCTGCTGTGCTGCAACGCCAATGTTGCCATCTGCTCCAAAAGTAAGGACAAAGACTAAACATTTAAATTCAACTTCATGCTTTTTCTATGTTATCCTCTAAGCTTTGTTTTTCCTGTGCATGATGATTTGTATCTTGCTCTTTTCAGCGACTACTCCAAGTACATCTACACCAGAAAAGACCTACCCAGAGACGACCAAGCCTGAGGTCACAGAGCCAGAGAAGACCTACCCAGAGACCACCAAGCCTGAGGTTACTGAGCCTGAAACAACTAAGCCTACAAGAAAGGTCACAACTCCAGTTACAGCTCGTACTACACGTCCAGACGTTACTGAGCCAGAGAAGACCTACCCTGAGACAACCAAGCCAGAGGTTACTGAGCCAGAGAAGACCTACCCAGAGACCACCAAGCCTGAGGTTACTGAGCCAGAGAAGACCTACCCTGAGACCACCAGGCCCGAGGTTACAGAGCCAGAAACAACTAAGCCTACAAGAAAGGTCACAACTCCAGGTACAGCTCGTACTACACGTCCAGATGTTACTGAGCCTGAGAAGACCTACCCTGAGACAACCAAGCCAGAGGTTACTGAGCCAGAGACAACTAAACCGGTATGGACCACTGTTCCTGAAACGACCAAACCTTGGTATACTACAGAACTTACAAGTGAGTATTATGATAATCATGTTTCCGCTGTTCCGAGGTTGCTGTTAAAGTTAATTATTTATCATCAACTTTTTTCTTCTAATTAGTCATAGAATCCTTTCATCAGTTTTACTAATTCTGTGTTTTCATACCCAACAGCTGCGTGTGACGAGAAGGTCTATGGCTGCTCATTCAAGTGTGAGGAAACCTGTCATTGCTACAGGTTTGTGGATTTCCCGTGATTTGCTGAAAGATAAAATCGAGTACAAATTGTATTGTTGTACATCATTACATTTAGTTTATTTGTGATTGAGCAACATACCAATTTCTCATACCAATGTAACTTTTCAGGTTTAAGATCACCCAATGTATGTACGGCGACAGAAGCACCTGTGTGCCTACATGTGGTGAATGTCCACCATGTCCTAAGGGATACATCCGTAAGGATCGTGAACACTGTGTGAAGCCAACTGAATGCCCATGTGTTACAGCAGATGGAACTGTTATTCCGGTATATTTTTCTTCACTTTCCAAAGGCCAAATACATCAGTTCAGTTTGGTGTTATAGTACTATGATGACACACCTGCACTGTAAATATATATTCTTTTTTATATTTTCTTCTTTATCGCCAGTTTAGTGTAGTTCTTTTTTGCAGGTTGTTAAAAGAATATCTGAGTCAGTTGTGGTTAAATATAACTTGAAGTTCTACCTTCTTTGTCCAAATTCTTGTTTGCTCTGAAGAAATGTAAAAGTAGTAGGATTTATATTTGTTCATATTTTAATCATTCCTTTCCCATTATGTCCCACTAGCCTGGTCAAAAGAAGCAGATTGATGAATGCCATATCTGTGACTGTTACAACAACAATCTGAGATGTGAGAACTTCTGCACCACCACAACTCCAGTAATTGTAAGTACAACCACAATTATTGTAACCACGCCTGAGGTCACAACAACAACCACTGTTGGGACTTCAGCTGAAACCACCAGGCCAGAGAAGACCTACCCTGAGACCACCAAACCAGAGACTGAAACAACAACTTACAAAACACCCAGGAAGGTGACAACTCCTTCATCTACAACTACAGAGACATTCACTACCAGGCCAGAGAAGACATATCCTGAGACCACCAGGCCAGAAAGACATACCTGAGACCACCAGGCCAGAGAAGACTTATCCTGAGACCACCAGGCCAGAGAGGACCTATCCTGAGACCACTAGGCCAGAGAAGACATATCCTGAAACCACCAGGCCAGAGAAGACCTATCCTGAGACCACCAGGCCAGAGAAGACATATCCTGAGACCACCAGGCCAGAGAAGACTTATCCTGAGACCACCAGGCCAGAGCAAACGTACCCCGAGACCACAAAGCCTACAAGAAAGGTCACAACTCCAGGAACAACAACTTCATCTGAGACCACCAAACCTGAGAGCACTGAACCTGAGAAGACTTACCCCTGAAACCCACAACTTCAGAATGGACTTCTACAATTCAGGAGACAACTAAGTCTCGGTTTACAACAGAAGTTACTAGTAAGTATCCAATTAATCTTACCCTTGCTGAGAATGTTATGTTTGTATCTGTGTTTGTGAATAGAGTAACTCGAGAAGTCGTGGATGGATCCTTATGATCTGGTGTTGGAAAATAAGGAAATAGATTAGATTATGGGTCCCATAGTGTCTTTTGTAGGTACTGCACATTCGCGGAATCTGGTGATCTGGACATACTTCATGTGTGATCACGACGGTGTGTTTACAGGCTTTAGATATTGCAAATGTAGTCTAAGTATTTAATTAACTGTTCTTAACGTTACATAATTATACGGTATATCTGTCCAATTTAGCTCAGTGTGCAAAGAAGGTGTATGGCTGTTCCTTCAAGTGTGAGGAGACCTGCCACTGCTACAGGTTCAAGATCACCCAGTGTGTGTTTGGTGACGCTTCTTCATGTGTCCCAACATGTGGCGAGTGTCCACCTTGTCCCAAGGGCTACGTTCGTGTGGACAGGAATCGCTGTGTGAAGCCGACAGAATGTCCATGTGTTACAGCTGATGGCATTATTATTCCGGTAGGAGGAAGGAGTTCTGTATTGTACTAAAATGTTAACATGAACAGAAGAGTGAATTGCTAAATTTAGTGACTAGAACATCAATGTCGTATTTTGCAGTAGTTTTACCTTAGGCTAAATGCACCTAATGTGATGTTATGATTATGTCAATGCACTCATTGATGTCATCAAGTTTGCTTTAGTGCAAGAATCCCCACATTAAATCAAAGAATATAATTACATCATGATTCAATGACTCTCCCATAGCCTGGCACAACAAAGAAGATTGGTGAGTGCCGAGTGTGTGAGTGCTACAACAACGTCCTGACTTGTCGTAACATGTGCACAAAGCCTGAGATCACCACAACTGTAGCAACACCAGAGACCACGTCTGTTGGTACAACAACAACAAAAACAGTACAGACTACGACATACAAGACACCAAGAAAGGTGACAACTCCAGGGACCACTACATCAGAGGCATGGACCACCACATCAGAGTCATACACTACCAGGCCAGAGCAGACATACCCTGAGACAACAAGGCCAGAGCAGACATACCCTGAGACAACAAGGCCAGAGAGCACCTACCCTGAGACCACAAGGCCAGAGAGGACCTACCCTGAGACCACAAGGCCAGAGAAGACCTACCCTGAGACCACCAGGCCTGAGAAGACCTACCCCGAGACTACCAGGCCTGAGACCGAAACAACTGCTCCAGAGTACACTACATCGGAGCCAATAGTCACAAGTTAGTTTTCTCTTTCTGTTATCTTACGTTAGTCTTGTCACTTTTGAATTTTTGAAGGAAGTTGAAGTCCAGTGTTTATAAAACATGATCAATTGGAAACAAATTAATGACTTTTGTACAATTGGCAACTATTTCAAATTGCAATGATTTTAAATTGAAATGTAGATAACGTATCCCTGATATGGCTTTTTCCATACAGTCTAGAAGACAACAGCCAACATCACACCCTTTAATTATACCTCCTGGATCTGCTTGATCTTTATACAATGTTTGAATGTAACAAATAAATGGATTGCTAATATAAAATGAATTATGTAACTGCAGCTCAGTGTAAGAAGAGGGTCTATGGCTGTTCATTCCGGTGTGAGGAGACTTGCCACTGCTACAGGAATAAAATCACCCAGTGTATCCGAGGTGACAGGAGTTCCTGTGTCCCAACTTGTGGAGAGTGCCCACAGTGTCCTCCAGGGTATCTCCGCAAGGACCAGTACCACTGCATCAAGCCGACAGAGTGTGACTGTATCACTGATGGAGGTGTTGTGGTCAAGGTAAATTTGGCCTGATGCACAGTAACTGCAATGTGCTTCACTGATTGTTCAGGTCACTTTGTCCTTGAAATGTAAGCCAACAAACGGTCAACACCATAAACAGTTGGTGCAATACATGTATATTCTTCTCAAATGTGCAAACGATAACAAAGTTATGCAATACACAGGTGCAATAACAATGTAGATATTATCTCATTATTGTCTCATTATGACACATAATTCTACATGTAATTTGCTTTCTAACCAAGGCAATCACTTTCTCCCAAACATGGATCTTGATATTTCTTACGTGACAGCAACAATGTCTTTCTCCACAGGCGGGAGAGACGAAGGAAATCGATGATTGCACTGTATGCAGGTGCTACAATAACAAGCTTGTGTGTTCCAACTTCTGTACAACATCAAGTGTAACAACCACGAAAATGGTTGAAACCACAGGCTACCAACCGACAGTTACAACTACCTCTGAAACATACACCACCAAGCCTGAGACATACACCACCAAGCCTGAGACATATACTACCACTGTGCCTGAGACCTACACTACCAGGCCAGAGACTGATACAACAACGTACAAAACGCCAAGGAAGGTTACTACACCCTCTACGACTACAACTCCAGGGACATGGACCACCGAGCCTGAGACCTACACCACCAAGCCTGAGACCTACACCACCAAGCCTGAGACATACACTACTAGGCCTGAGTCATATACTACCAAGCCTGAGACATACACCACCAGGTCTGAGACGTACACCACCAAGCCTGAGACGTACACCACCAAGCCGGAGACATACGCCACCAAGCCTGAGACATACACTACCAGGCCTGAGACATACACTACAGTTGTAACAACAACATACAAGACACCGAGGAAGGTGACAACTCCATCTTCTACCACAGAGGTGTTCACAACTAAGCCTGAAACATACACCACCAAGCCTGAGACAACAATAACATCAGGTGTCTCTACAACAATCCCACAAACATACACCACTGTTACAAGTATGTTTACCTTCTCTTCTTTGCCTCTAATATAAAGCATTTTTCTTATTTCTCATCTTTTAATGTCTTACCAGGCAATCTGAAACTAAGGTTCGATCACTTCGTGATTAGTGCAACGGTTCAAAGAAAATGGTTTTGATATTTCTATAAGGGTAAACATTGTGCTGCTCTCTTCATACTAGTTACATTGAGTATAGTATAGATTATGTGGCACATACATTACATGGTGTATGTTATTATGACCAAACACATGAAGCATCAAGAAGTACTTATAATATACTACATGCATACATTGTGTATACTTGGTCTGTTACCTCAACGTATCTTTTTGGCTGGGTCAAGTATTGAAATCTTATCCATCTTTATTTTTTCAGCTGAATGTGCAAAGAAGGTATATGGCTGTTCCTTCCGTTGTGAGGAAACCTGCCACTGCTACAGGTACAAGATCACACAGTGCCAGCGTGGTGACAGGAGTTCATGTGTACCTACCTGTGGTGAGTGCCCTGCATGTCCTAAAGGCTACATCAGGAAGGACCTGTATCACTGTGTCAAGCCTACAGAGTGTGACTGTATCACCGATGGAAACGTTGTTGTACCGGTGAGTTGCTAGGATGATGTATGAAACTGACCACTTGATTTATTGAGTGAAATGAGAATCAGCTACAGAAAATTTTCCTCATCTCTATATGTTTCATTGTACTTTTCAGGCGGGCAAGACAATTAAGGTCGGCCAATGTCAGGTATGCACATGTTACCAGAACACCTTGACGTGTTCCAACTTGTGCACGACCTCGGCTACAACAGAGGCAACAGCAACAACAACAACACGGGCAATCACCACTGGATACAAGACACCTCGAAAGGTCACAACACCAGTTACAACACCAGTCACAAGGCCAACAACACCAACTCCATCAGTGACAACTAACGGTACCTAATTATTGAATTTCATTTTAAATGGAGCGCTTCTCAAGAGCATATTTTACAATGTAGCATAATCTTCTGTGGTGCTAAATGCAGGTTGTAATGGCCTTATTGCCTTTACTTCATACATAGCACCAACCACCCGATGCTATGAGGAACATGAGGTCTGCTCCTGGACCAGCTGGATGGATGCCTGCTACCCAACACCAGCTGTCCGTGGTGACGATGAGTCTTTCACTAGCCTCCGTCGCCACGGCTTTAAGATTGGTGGGCCAAACCAGAAGATCACCAGGATCCAATGCCGCACTGTGGGCACACATATCGACTACACAAAGACAGGCCAGAATGTTGTGGCTAACTGTGAGGTCGGCTGTGTCTGTACTCATGCCACTGGTCCTAGCAAGTTCCAGATGATGATGAGAGGAATCAGCCCATACTGTTACAACTATGAAGTGCGTCTGCTGTGCTGCAACGCTAATGTTGCCATCTGCTCCAAAAGTAAGGACAAAGATATTCGTATTTAAACATGATGAATTTTCCATGTTTTTCTCTAAGCTTAGTTTTTTCTATGCATGATGGTTTGTATCTTGCCCTTTTCAGCAACTACTCCAAGTACTCCAACTACACCAGAGAAGACGTACCCAGAGACCACCAGGCCAGAGGTTACTGAGCCAGAGAAGACCTACCCTGAGACCACCAAGCCTGAGGTTACTGAGCCAGAGAAGACCTACCCCGAGACCACCAAGCCTGAGGTTACTGAGCCAGAGAAGACCTACCCTGAGACAACCAAGCCTGAGGTTACTGAGCCAGAGAAGACCTACCCTGAGACCACCAAGCCCGAGGTTACTGAGCCAGAAACAACTAAGCCTACGAGAAAGGTCACAACTCCAAGTACAGCTCGTACTACACGTCCAGATGTTACTGAGCCAGAGAAGACCTACCCTGAGACCACCAAGCCAGAGGTTACTGAGCCAGAGAAGACCTTCCCAGAGACAACTAAACCTGTATGGACAACTGTTCCTGAAACGACCAAACCTTGGTATACTACAGAACTTACAAGTGAGTGTTATCATGTATGTACTGTTACAAGGATTCTGTCAAAAATATTTATTCATTAATAGCTCCTAATTAGTCATAGAATCTTTTATCAGTTTTCCTAATTCTGTGTTTTCGTACCCAACAGCTGCGTGTGACAAGAAGGTCTATGGCTGCTCATTCAAGTGTGAGGAAACCTGCCATTGCTACAGGTTTGTGGATTTTCTGTGATATACAAAAGATAGAATCAGATGCAAAATGTATCATTGCTTTTAGTTTATTTGTCATTGAGCGACAGACCAATTTCTCATGCCAATGTTACTTTTCAGGTTTAAGATCACCCAATGTATGTACGGCGACAGAAGTACCTGTGTGCCTACATGTGGTGAATGTCCACCATGTCCCAAGGGATACATCCGTAAGGATCGTGAACATTGTGTGAAGCCAACAGAATGTCCATGTGTCACAGCAGATGGAACCGTTATTCCGGTATGTTAACACTCATTTTCCCACCAGTTTAAAAGGTCAAATACTACAATTCAGTTTGAACATCTACACTGTAAATGCAAGCAAGCATTGATTTGTTTTCTTAATTGCTAGTGAAGTTTATTTGTTTATGCAGATTATTTGAAGAATCTAAGTTGAGGCTAAATATAACTTAAAATCATTTCCAATTTATTTGTCCAAAACCTTGTTGGTTGTTATATATTATTAATAGGATTTTATGTTTATATGTTACAAATGTTTTTCTATTATGTCTCACTAGCCTGGCCAAAAGAAGCAGATTGATGAATGCAATATCTGTGAATGTTACAACAACAACCTGAGATGTGAGAACTTCTGCACCACCACAACTCCAGTAATTGTAAGTACGACCAGCATTGTTGTTACTACCAAGCCTGAAGTCACAACAACATCAACCACTGAGACCACCAGGCCAGAGAAAACCTATCCTGAGACAACCAGGCCAGAGACTGAAACAACAACATACAAAACACCTAGAAAGGTCACAACTCCTTCCACGACAACTCCAGAAACATTCACCACCAGGCCAGAGAGGACCTACCAAGAGTCCACCAGGGTTGTGCAGACTTACCCTGAGACCACCAGGCCAGAGAGGACCTACCAAGAGTCCACCAGGGTTGTGCAGACTTACCCTGAGACCACCAGGCCTGAGCAGACTTACCCTGAGACCACCAGGCCAGAGAAGACATACCCTGAGACAACCAAACCAAAGAAGACTTACCCTGAGACCACCAGGCCAGAGAAGACTTACCCTGAGACAACCAGGCCAGAAAAGACTTACCCTGAGACCACCAGGCCAGAAAAGACATACCCGGAAACCACCAAGCCAGAGAAGACCTATCCTGAGACAACCAGGCCAGAGAAGACATACCCTGAGACCACCAGGCCAGAAAAGACCTACCCTGAGACCACCAGGCCAGAGAAGACTTACCCCGAGACTACAAGGCCAGAGCAGACTTACCCTGAGACCACCAGGCCAGAGAAGACCTACCCAGAGACAACCAGGCCAGAGAAGACTTACCCAGAGACCACCAGGCCAGAGAAGACTTACCCAGAGACAACCAGGCCAGAGAAGACCTACCCTGAGACTACAAAGCCTACAAGAAAGGTCACAACTCCAGGAACAACAACTTCATCTGAGACCACCAAACCAGAGAGCACTGAACCTGAGAAGACTTACCCTGAATCCACAACTTCAGAATGGACTTCTACAATTCCGGAGACAACTACGTCTCGGTTCACAACAGAAGTGACCAGTGAGTAAGGAGTTAATTTTTCGCTAGGCTTCCTGTTACGTTTTCGTGTGTTTATTCATGTGTGTGTGTGTGTGTGTGTGTGTGTGTGTGTGTGTGGTTTGTATGTATGAGGGTGTGCTTTTATGTGTCTATGAACAGAAAGACTTGAGAAGTTGAGGATCGTTATATGATATTTGGTTTGTAGGTGTTGACAAAATAATGCTTAAAATCTTGGCCCCATAGCATCTTTTTAGGTAATACATGTACTGCAGGAAAGTTTGATATCTTGTGTTCTGGACATTCTTCATGTATGGTCATGATTGTTTTATTGGTAAATACCTCTTTGCTTGGTTTGCTTAAAGCCTTTAGATATTGCAGATTTAGTCAAAGCAAACGTTTCTAAACTTTACATAATTGTACGGTTTATTTTTCTAATTCAGCTCAGTGTGCCAAGAAGGTGTATGGCTGTTCCTTCAAGTGTGAGGAGACCTGCCACTGCTACAGGTTCAAGATCACCCAGTGTGTGTTTGGCGATGCTTCTTCATGTGTCCCAACATGTGGCGAGTGTCCACCTTGTCCAAGGCTACGTTCGTGTGGACAGGAATCGCTGTGTGAAGCCTACTGACTGTCCTTGTGTAACAGCAGATGGCATTATTATTCCGGTAGGAGGAATTTAGGAGTTCTGCATTGTTAGTACTGCTGTATTAATACAACCACAATGTTGTCAATTATTAAATACTATATGCAATAACTTGATATTTTTTATTCAACTATTTAATATTTATTCATTCCTTCCTTTTAATTAGGCACCTGGTCCATATAACATAAACAGCAAGAAAAATGATACAAAACAACAAAAACGAAATACAGTCCAATAACAAAGACAGCTAATTCTCAAACACAAGGTTTATTGTCATGAAAAAAAACTAGCCCAAATGAATATACTCATGAAAGCTTTTCCAAAAATATAATTTGGTGAGATACTTTAGTGAAAATTTACATTGGTGAAAATTTATATTAATACCAAGAACATAATTACATAAAGATTCAATTATCACTTCACAGCCTGGAACAACAAAGAAGATTGGCGAGTGCCGAGTGTGTGAGTGCTACAACAATGCCCTTACTTGCCGTGACATGTGCACTAAGCCTGAAATCACCACAACTGTGGCTACACCAGAGACCACTTCTGTTGGTACAACGACAACAACAGTACAGACTACAACATACAAGACACCGAGAAAGGTCACAACTCCAGGGACCACTTCTGAGTCATGGACCACCACTTCAGAGGCATGGACAACCACATCAGAGACCTACACTACCAGGCCAGAGACAGACCTATCCTGAGACCACCAGGCCAGAGAAGACCTATCCTGAGACCACCAGGCCAGAGAGAACCTACCCTGAGACCACCAGGCCAGAAAAGACTTACCCTGAGACCACCAGGCCAGAGCAGACTTACCCTGAGACCACCAGGCCAGAGAAGACCTACCCAGAGACCACCAGGCCAGAGAAGACTTACCCAGAGA